CACAGTGTTTTACCTGCTCAGTGTTCACCTGCTCAGTGTTCACCTGCTCAGTGTTCACCTGCACATTGTTTTACCTGCACAGTGTTCACCTGCTCAGTGTTCACCTGCACATTGTTTTACCTGCACATTGTTTTACCTGCACAGTGTTCACCTGCACATTGTTTTGCCTGCACATTGTTTTACCTGCACAGTGTTCACCTGCACAGTGTTCACCTGCACATTGTTTTACCTGCACAGTGTTCACCTGCTCAGTGTTCACCTGCACATTGTTTTACCTGCACAGTGTTCACCTGCACAGTGTTCACCTGCACATTGTTTTACCTGCACAGTGTTCACCTGCACATTGTTTTACCTGCACAGTGTTCACCTGCACATTGTTTTACCTGCACAGTGTTTTACCTGCACAATGTTTTACCTGCACAGTGTTCACCTGCACAGTGTTTTACCTGCACAGTGTTCACCTGCACAGTGTTTTACCTGTAGTGTTTTACCTGCACAGGTTCAGAGTCAGCATGTAAATGAGTCTTCTGGCTCACCATGCATCTGCAACATATTGATCTCACTGGAGTCAGATTAAAAAAAGCTCAATCATCCAGATAGATAAATCACAAAATAAGGTTAAGTCATTTTATCTGTGCAGTTTCTTTTTGGGAGAAATGTTTCGTTCTTCATCCGAAAGACTTCATCAGTCGGAGGCCTTCCAACGCAGATTTGTCTTATAAATAGCGCCTCCTTGATGTGTTTCAAGCCAGCCCTCTGTGGAGTTCCCAGAAACTGGCTTTACACGTGCAAAAAGGAGCCACGTGTCCTAAACAATCGATCATCATGACTGATGAAGTATTTCAGATGAAAGACGAAACATTTCTCCCACAAAGAGTCTGTCCAGATGAGGTGACTGGTCTTTGTTGAACATAGATGTTAAACCAGTGTGTATTTAACCTCTTAGTGCTTGTAGCCGTTTGACTGCACATGGTCTGGTGTTGCAGGTTCACAGCTGCCCTGGAAGTTAAGGAAAACCTGGAGAACGACTTTCCAGACACGGAAAACTCCAGGAATTTTACTTTCATTAATAACCTTTATTAAAACCACAAACATAATTTCATTTAGACCCCTGGGTATAAAAGCATCTCAAGTATTTCTGTGTGTGGTTCAGGCATGAGCTCACTCTTTATTGTATTCATTTTTATATGTATGTATATAAAAACATATGTTTTATATGCATTTATTTCTAGTATTGTCAGGCTTGTCCTGCATCTTTCTGTTGATTCTCAGACATTTGCAGCTCTGTGAGGGTCTGAGACCGGCTGAGTCGGGGTCCCGACCCACCCAGCGGTTCTCCTCACATTCCTTGCTTCACAAATGCAAACATTGCCCAAATCCCCCAGACTTTTGTGAAGCGTGATTCGAACAGAGAGGCTTTGAGTCGTCCTTGTTGCAGTGCTGTTTCTGTGTTTTACATATTTATATATATATATTTATATTTATTTAGGCGTCAAGTATACTCACAGACATTATGTTCATATAGTCATTATGTTGCAGTGATTCTTGATGATCTTCAGATTTAAACACACTATTCATCAGTCTGGGTTCTCCTGGCCACTGCTTTGGGTTCATCGCTGAGCATTAATGAGAAATAAGTCACAAATCGTTCAGCTTCTAATTTTTCATACACTTTGTGCTCCCTCAGACCTGGCCTTGGAGTCAAACCCGTCGGACCACGCCCGAGCGAGCACCATCTTCCTTAGCAAGTCTCAGACCGACGGTGAGTAAATGTGACGTGACGCATCAGAGAGTCCCGACTATCCTTTGTGTGTGGGCAGCAAACAGAAGAGAAGCACCCGATATTAGATGTCACCGCGTTGGATCTGTTCTGTACTGGCTCCACTTTTTAACACGCCTAAGGTTTACGCTGTTCTACCACCTCTGGATAGTGTTATTAAATATGTCATTTACCGTTATTATTTGGATAACATTTAAAATAGCTGTTCTAAATGTGCACTTACAACTGGAAACTAAGTTATTAAACATTTATTTAAAAAAAAAAAAAGCTGCCTCAGGTACAGGTACTTTGACATACTGATTTCCAGAACTCGGACAAATGTTTTAGCTTCTTTAGAGCTCTATGAAGTATTTATTGTTTTAAGGGTTTTATTTCTAAGCAGTTTAATAAAAGGGTAACAGTTTATTTAAAAAATAAACAAAAACTCAAAATTCATAAACATGACCAAATTTAAACAGAAATAAAACTAAATGTGTGGCACGGTGGCTCAGTTTGTAGAGGTGCTGCCTCTCAGCAAGAAGGTCGCTGGATCGAATCCGCCCAGAAGTTAGGAAGTCCGTCAGGAAAGAAGGAAGTCCGTCAGGAAAGAAGGAAGTCCGTCAGGAAAGAAGGAAGTCCGTCAGGAAAGAAGGAAGTCCGGAAGGAAAGAAGAAAGTCCGGAAGGAAAGAAGGGAGTCCGGAAGGAAAGAAGAAAGTCCGGAAGGAAAGAAGGAAGTCCGGAAGGAAAGAAGGATTTCTGGAAGGATGTATCCTTCATTCAGGAAGGAAGTTAGTTCATTAGTTTAATTAATGCTTTAGTAAGTTTGTTCAAAATCTGCCTGTAACCCGTTTATAAATAAAATTAAAAAATGTCTTTTTGTAAAATAACGTTTCTTGTTTGTGTTTTATTTGAGTATAAAACACATAAGAACTTATAATTCATGCTAAATTTCACATTTTCTGAGTTTACTTCTGTTAGTTTTAACTGAGAGACTCAGATAATCAGGATATTTTTGTAATTGTTTTACTGAAAGCAGCTTTCAGCTGATTTAACAAGATTAACCCAATTTGACTTTGGTCACACCGCAGCCAAAAATGACCCAAATCCTTTGTTTGCCCACATGTTTGTTTGCCCACATGTTTGTTTGCCCACATGTTTGTTTGCCCACATGTTTGTTTGCCCACATGTGACCCGTATCTGAATTATTATTATTAATTATTTTTATTTTCCAAATCCAACCCAGCCGGGTGTTTTTCATGTGTGGTACTAAATCTGACACGTATCCAAAGTGAGCTCAGTCTGAACAATCATGTTCATCCGACTTTTACGTAACAGAAGAAGAGTTGTGCAGATCAATCCAAATATTGATAATATTGATACCAACATGGAGCAGTTTAAAGCTTGGACCTCCACACAGACGTTCAGTAGCTCTTAAATGTTTGGGTTTGTCATTTCCTGGATGACTGAGAATAATAATAATAATAATAATAATAATAATAATAATAATGTGTACGTGTTGTCATCATTGTACGGCCCCATACAATGGTGAAACTGGCTCTCTCCATTTAACCCACCCACCCCGAGGTGGAGCAGTGGGCAGCTACTGATGGTGTCCGGGGAGCAACTGGGGATGGAGTGTCCTGCTCAGAGACACCACGAGATGTGCAATGACTGGGGATTGAACCTGAGACTTTGGGGTCCCAGGTCGGCTGCCCTACCTCTACCCCATCTCGGCCCCCGAAAACCTACATCAACATATAACATCAGCAGACTGGATCTAATGGTGCCAACATGAAGGGGTCCATACTGGAGTTTGTTTCACTCTCAGTACGCCTCTCCTGTTCCAGGAGTGCAGTTCTGTGATGGGTTGGGCAGAAAGCAGCAAGATCCGTTTGATCTGAACAGATCCGATTTGATCCATTTGATTTGAACAGATCCGATTTGATCCGTTTGATTTGAACAGATCCGATTTGATCCGTTTGATTTGAACAGATCAGATTGGATCCGTTTGATTTGAACAGATCAGATTGGATCTGTTTGATTTGAACAGATCAGATTTGATCAGTTTGATTTGAACAGATCAGATTGGATCCCTTTGATTTGAACAGATCGGATTTGATCAGTTTGATTTGAACAGATCAGATTGGATCCCTTTGATTTGAACAGATCGGATTTGATCCGTTCTATTTGAACAGATCGGATTTGATCCGTTTGATTTGAACAGATCAGATTGGATCCTTTTGTCCACTGACACCATGAACAATGTCCTCGTCAGTCAACCTGACCTTTGACCCCTCCACAATAATGTGTATACCTTATAAACACACTGTAGTCCTAAATTATCTGTGCTGTCTTTTTCAATTGTGTGTTTAATTGAAGAAACGTGATGGAATATATTTAAACCTTTTTCAGTTAAATCTTAACTTTAGTAGTTTTTGTATTTTATGGAGTAAACTGAAGCAACCCTGTGATTTATTCGCCCTTTTTTAAAATTATTTTTATTTGTTACAGTGCGGGATCGGAGGAAAAGCAACCACATAAACCACCACGTGAGTCATGTAAGTGTCTGGTTATACACGTGACTTCTACATGTTTGTTCTACGAGGAGCCGTGCTGCTTTTGTATTCAACTTACGACCATCAAACACTAAAGGACTGGATTAAAGCAGGATAGTGGTTGTGATGATAAAAAATATTGTTAAACCTCACCAACGTATTTTATAAGTGGAGAAATGTGTTTCTTTGTTTTGCTTTTCTGCCCCAAACCTGACGCTTGATTTCCTCAGTTCAAACTGCTGTTCATCCAACACCTGAGCTGTTTTGTTTGTTTTCTGGGTGTCAAGGTGTCTCCTGGTCCGTTATCGAAGAAGTACAGCTCCTGTTCCACCATCTTCATCGACGACAGCACCGTCAGCCAGCCAAACCTCAAAAGCACAATCAAATGGTGAGAATCCGCTCGGAAACACGCCGCCGCTCAGCAAACGTAGCCTGGAAATGATTTGTTTCACCGGAGAACGATCTGGTTACGTCCCAGCGCAGTAATCCAGAGCGGGAGTTTGCTTTTATCGCTTGTTTATTTTGTGGTTAAAAAAAAGAAGAGGTAACCAAAGGCATATTTTTCTCTTCCTCTCTCCGTAGTGTCACTTTAGCGATCTACTACCACATCAAAAACAGGTAGGTGGCGTCCGTCAGTTTGTTTTCCATCCTTTTGTTTTTAAATCAAATAATTTTGGTCAACAGCTTCACACGTTGGGGTGTTTAACGGTGTTTGTTGTTTACAGGGACTCAGACAGGTCTCTGGACATCTTTGATGAGAAGTTGCACCCTTTATCAGTGAGTCATGACATTTCCAGAGTTAATTCTGCGTTCAGTTCTTTAATTTAGATCCATGTCACACTTTACCTGTTGGGTGTTTCCCATCCAACGCTCTGAGGAGACTTTGTGTTGGAGCAGTTCCTCTCAGCAGCACTTTCAGCTGCACGTCAGGAAACTTGTGATTTTGTGTAAATACATACTTTTTACCGTATACTCTTAAGTTGCTCTGTTCACCTTTAAAGACTGATTTTTGGAGCTCGCCCAGCTGCACTGAGTGATTTCCTGTACGCTGATGATGCAGCGCTCGACAGCTATCACAACGATGGGGCCCTTGTGAACATGGAACATCATTTGCTCAGATCATAACGGATGATTCCGAGATCAAGAAAGTGCACAAATCTTCAAATCTAGTTGGTGACCTTGAGTGGTAGGTAGCTCAGTTTAAGATGTTTCAGTCACAAGGGACTGTCCTTCAGCACCAACCTGATGGTTTACAAGGCTGTAGTAGTTTCAGTTCTACCATAGAGACCTGGTCCACCTTGAACTTCCATCTTCTGCACCTCCTAACCAGCACTGAGGCTCTGATGAGAGCCAAATGCACGGGCATTGAAACCACGAGGAGGACTTGTCTCCACTGACGCACACAGTGCATCCGGACAGTATTCACAGCGCTTCACTTTTTCCACATTTTGTGATTTAACCGTCGGCCCAGTCTGAGGTCAAGAACGCTCTGGAGCAGGTTTTCATCCAGGATGTCTCTACATCGCTGCATTCATCTTTCCCTCTGTCCTGACTGGTCTGCCAGTTCCTGCTGCTGAAAAACATCCCCATAGCATGATGCTGCCACCACCATGCTTCACTGTAGGGATAGTATTGGCCTGGTTATGAGCTGGTTTCCTCCAAACATGACGCCTGCATTCACACCAAAGAGTTCAGACCAGAGAGTTTCGTTTCTCGTGGTCTGAGAGTTCTTCAGGTGCCTTTTGGTCAACTCCAGATGAGCTGCCATCTTGGCCATGTGCCTTTTATTAATTAATTTTATTAAGGAGTGATTTTTGTCTGGCCACTCTTTAACGTACAGCCTGATTGGTGGATTGCTGCAGAAATGGTTGTTCTTCTGGAAGGTTCTCCTCTCTCCACAGAGGAACTCTGGAGCTCTGACAGAGGGACCATCGGGTTCTTGGACCCTTCCTGACTAAGGCTCTTCTCCCCGAGCGCTCAGTTTAGACGGCCGGCCAGCTCTAGGAAGAGTCCTGGTGGTTCCAAACTTCTTCCATTTCTGAATGATGGAGGTCACCGAGCTCGCTGGGACCTTCAAAGCAGCAGAAATGTTTCTGTATCCTTCCCCAGATTGGTGCCTCAACACAATCCTGCCTGGAGATCTACAGAGAAGTCCTTTGACTTCATGGTTGGTGTTTGTGCTCTGACATGCTCTGTCAACTGTGGGACCTTCTACAGACAGGAGTGTGCCTTTCCACATCAACTGAATTGACCACTGGTGGACTCCACTGAGGTTGTAGAAACATCTCAAGGATGATCAGAGGAAACAGGATACATCTGAGTGCAGTTTGGAGCTTCATGGTAAGGGCTTTGAATACTTTCTGGATGCACTGTATGCAGCATGGATGGATGACCAAATCCCAAAGCGGCTCCTCTTCAGTGAGCTAGCTGAGGGAGCAAGATCGAGAAGTTGACCCAAAACAAGATGGAAAGACTGCATGAAGGAGGGTATAAAGATCTGTGGCTTTGATGAGGATGAGTATGAGGATGTTGCAGAAATGGAGCTTCAAAGTGTGGCAAGGCAAGGATCTGTTCAAGGCCCACCTTACCCAGAGGTCATGGGGTTCCTGCATCACCAGAGACTTCATCATCAGATGGGCGGGGCGAAAAGTACAGATTCATGGAAGTTTCAACGATCAGTTTATTTCCACTCACCTCTACAGAAAACAAGAAATCATCCCTGAAGTTTGTGTCTGTTCAGTCCAGTCAAAGCTACTGGTTTATCCTTTATCTGACCTGGTGTTTCAGTCGTTCAGAGTTTACCCCTACAAGGTGTTCACAGCAACAACTGGTTCTCACAGGAGACCAAAACGATCCCTCAGACTTGTGTGTGTTCGTCCCACACAGAGAGAGCCGGTACCGGAGAACTACTCGTTCGTCGACCCGGAGCACAAGCTGATCTACCGCTTCGTCAGAACGCTCTTCAGCGCCGCGCAGCTCACGGCAGAGTGCGCCATCGTCACGCTCGTAAGCGCATGAGTTTTGTCAAATTTATTTCTGTTATAAGAACAAAATGTTTAATTTACTTCCACTAATATAAAATTAATTTTTTTTATCTTGTTTTGTTCAAAACTCCAAAGATGGAATTACCTCCACACTTATAAGAATGAACTTTGCACTGATGCACAGACACGTTTCCTTTCTGTCAGTCCACCTTGTTCCTCGCCCCCATGCTGCCTTGTGTGAATTATGGACACGACTTCCAGCGGGACCAGAACCAGCGCTTGTTTGTGTGAACAGTACGAGCTAAAGTAGTTTCTCTGAGCATTGTGGGTTTAATGTAAACATGTAGGAACACCAGCTGTCAGAGCTCCAACAGGACAATATAAACATACCTCTGCCTGCTGAGGGCGAGGGATGGAGGACGAGCTGAAGAAGTGGCTGCAGATTACATCTACTAGCATATGTAGCTACATCTACTAGCATATTTAGCTACATCTACTAGCATATGTAGCTACATCTACTAGCATATTTAGCTACATCTACTAGCATATTTAGCTACATCTACTAGCATATGTAGCTACATCTACTAGCATATTTAGCTACATCTACTAGCATATGTAGCTACATCTACTAGCATATGTAGCTACATCTACTAGCATATTTAGCTACATCTACTAGCATATTTAGCTACATCTACTAGCATATTTAGCTGCATCTACTAGCATATTTAGCTGCATCTAACATATTTAGCTACATCTACTAGCATATTTAGCTACATCTAACATATTTAGCTACATCTACTAGCATATTTAGCTACATCTACTAGCATATTTAGCTACATCTACTAGCACTTTTAGCTACATCTACTAGCACTTTTAACTACTTCATGGACTCAGTTCTAATGACGGTGAAGCGATAAACAACCTGAGAAGCTCTGAGTGTATCAGTGTCTCCACAGTAATAAGGTCGGTGGTGTTTTGTTAAAAGAGGTGGGGCACAAACTTATTGACCTTAAATCAGACACAGAGCCAAAGTCTTAAAGTCCTCCATCACTGAGTTTGGGTTAATTACAGAGAAAATCATAAAAGTAAAGATGAACAAATATATAAAGCTGTGACCTACATACTCCTGAAATCATCCCTGATGTTCTCGTCACTGTTTTCAATCCTTCTGAGGATCCGGCGTTTCTTCTCCGGTGGTTTATTGTCGTCCAGACACAAAGTAGGATGCAGGTTTTCCTCCGTCGGCCGTTTGTCAACAAAGTGAAATGAGCTCACATGCAGAGTTTTGGGTGGTCTCTTCAAGTTCACGTTTCAGACACGTTCTTCTTAATTCTTCATCTGCAGGTGGGAGATGAAACTAAACCTCTTTTCACAGGAACTCTTTTTGTTTTGGGTCCGTGTTCAAACTCTGTTGTTGAAGCCACTGATTTAGTTTGGTCTGGTTGTTCTGCAGCCCTGAACACAACAGGTACCTGAACGCAGCACGACCACTTTAGTAAACTTTATGGTTGTTAAATAAATTTAAATAAAACAAAAACAGAGTTTTATCTGCTAAAATGAATGTAAATTACTTTCAAACAACAGTCCGTGCTCTGCTACCATGGTTAACTAATACTGACTGCTACTTCCTGTCTGACAGGAAGTTGTAAGGATTATTTTGTTTTTTATTTATAAATTGTAAGGATTAACGTGGCTAAGTTTGATCAGAAGTGACGTGCTCTGATTTGGCACAGTTGTAGTTGCATCCTTTGGACTGCAGAGGGCAGTAAGCTCCTTCAAGCTCACCAATAAATCCCTCAATACAGTGATTCAAAGAAGATCAATAAGTGTTTTATAGTAAAATCATTTGATACCAATTATTAATACAGTTGCTGCAGTCACTCTTGAGGCACAGTGGCATAAACACAATATAAAACTAGACAAATCACATTCTGCAAAACGCTGTGAATGTTTGTTAGCGAATGATTTTTCTGAAAGGTGCTGAACAAAAAAAATAACTAAGAGCTGAAAAGCTTAAAAAAAATTAAAAAAAAAAAAAGCTAAAATCCCTGAATTTAGATGAAAGCTAAAAGAAACATGCTGAAATTAGGATGTAAAAATCTTTAAATTAGCAGGAAAAAAAAAAACATAAAAAGTGATTTTAAAAGAAGCTTAACAGAACAAAAAAAACAGCCAAAATTAGTAGATTAGCTGAAAGTAGCTAAAAAACACAACAAGCTAAAATAAGTAGAAAGATGCTTATATGAGCTGAAAGAAGCTGAAGCAGAACCAAAAGCTGAAATGAGCAGTAAAAGGTTGTAAACAGCCGAAGGGTCTGAAGGAGGTGAAGAGAGCTCCATTCATCATCAATGAGGAAAAACATGGCCGACAAAGCTTGAAACACAGCAGTGAAGGCTACTTATGGGACAGATGTGGCTGGCAGGCCGCAGACTGATGAAGTCTTCTGGATGGAAGACGAAACGTTTCTCCCTTAAAGAAACTGGTCCAGATGAAATTATTTAACCTTTTTTGTTCTCAACAAGTGCACGAACACCAAAAGTCCTGAATGAGCCGAACGTTTTGATTTATAAACTGTTGAATCCTGCAGCGAGTTCTGCGCTGAATACCGTACGGAAGAAAAATGTCAGGGTTAGAAACATTCAGATGGTTTACGTCCCGCGTTTATCAGCCGTTTACCACTAAAATTACATTTCAAAGCTGATTGTTTTGAGTTAGTAGGTTCTGGCAGCATTAGTTGAGTTTAACCAGTAGGTTTCAGGAGTTCGTAACGACAGCCGATATTTGTTTTTCCACCGGTCGTTAAAATGTGGACCTTCTGTCTCCTCAAGGTGTACTTGGAGCGCTTGTTGACCTACGCCGAGCTGGATATCTGCCCCGCCAACTGGAAGCGCACCGTCCTGGGAGCCATCCTGTTGGCCTCCAAAGTCTGGGACGACCAGGCCGTGTGGAACGTCGACTACTGTCAGATCCTCAAAGACATCGCCGTAGAGGACATGTGAGTAGTGGACACAAGGCTCTGTTGGTGTTTTTTCAATATTTATTGGGGGTAATAAACGGAAAGTGAGCGGGTTTACATGAAAAAGCTGTAGTTTCCATGTCAGTCGGGTTGCCAGATAAGAAATTATGAACTAAAGTACCGTGGCTTTAAAATGACAGTATTTTGGCCTAAACTGTCACGTGTGCTGAGTAAAGATCTTCTAAGATGAGGTGTGTGTTGTGTTTGTTGAACATGTGCACAGAAAAGGAGGTGGTAAATAAGACTTTTTAAATTGATCTGGCAACCCTGATGTTCACCAGACGGTTCTCATTTAGTTCTGAAGACCTGAACCCTGGTCATGTTGGTTCCAGTCCAGGTTTTAGTTCTCAGATTTGACCCTGCACCGCTTCCTGTTTGCTGTCAATGACATCCTGTTGCTAAAGATCAGTTAAACAGTTAAAACATGACTTTATTTGTACGTTGTTTTAAGTCCACTGGACACGTTGTGTGAAATAAAAGACAATTTATGTACATCTGGACGGTCTCTGCGTCCCTCACAGTCGACATGCGAGTTGAAAACATTATTTGGGGCTTCCAGTGCTGCACTCTTGTCCTCCTAATAAAAGGAAGATAATAAGACGCTCTTGAAGCCAACAGGAGGAAGTGCTGCAGCGTCTCTGCCGTCGGGCTGCGGACCACTGAAGAGGCCGGAGCCGGCACTTGGAGCACCGCGGCTTCATCTCCTACGATTGCTTTTTTCCTGTCCGTGTAGAAGAGGCTGAGAGCGCCGTCATGATGTGGAGCTCTGCATCCTCCCTGACCTGCACCCCCCCACCCCCCCGCTCTGTTTTCATTGCGGCCACTGAAGTGTCTTTGTGTGCTGGTTCAAGTCTGAACGGAGGGATGGGGGAGAGGAGCGGGTGGGGGGCAGAGAGAAATAAGAGGGGAGGGTCTCAAGTGCTCTCACTGCTTCTACATAATGGTCCCGGCTCTCGCCCGCTCCATTAGTTGCCCCTGGAAACCAGACATCACACACTCGTGCGTCCTCTCTCCACCTTTGCTGACCAACAAAGCATCCTGGATGTTGTCTCCTTGGCGACCACCTCCCTCACTGTGAGGATGAGGGAGGATGATGGAGGCTGTGGTCCGGAGGAACAGGACCAAACTCCAGAGAAGTGGGCGCAGATGTGCGCTAGATTACAATCGAGCTCTGTTCAAGTTTTCGTCGTCGTCCAACAGCTGGTGTTCACTTTGGGAGTAAGAGTCGTCCTCTGTTCGCTCGTCACAACCGAAACAGTATCTAGAGCCACGAGCGAAGAGCTGGGGGGTGGGGGGGCACACCTTCCGTCCAGCATCCACGTCAGTTTGTGGCTAAATCTCAGCATGAGAGAAGTTTCTTTCGAAAACTGTGTTGTCACATCAAAGTCCAAGATGGCTGCCGCCGTATGTTCATGTGTCTTGGGTAACTTGAAAAATAATCAACTTGCGTCTGTTCTGGTGTGCAGCCAGAGGTGATTCGTTTCAGATGAGAATAATCCGATTACATCACAGCGCAGTAATCCCGAAGACAGACAGAGTTTCCTCTACTGTTATACAAGGAGGGCGCCCCGCCCCGTCAACAGAACTGAGCCCCCTTCCTACTGAACTGTCCCCACCCCCCGTCGACCACTTCCAGCCAGCTCTGACGTAGCGCTGAGCTAGCGCCACACAATACATGCACAAGCTACAAAGATAAAAAAACAAAAACGCTCTCTATCTCCAGGGTCACCCTTTGGGTGGCCAAAGATTCATCTGTGGGGGCCGAGCCACCATTTGTCACCCCCTAGCTCTGCATTTGTGCCTGGTGGTGGATAAAAGTGGATAAGTCACTCTGCCTCCAACAAGCGGTGACGTCCTCCGTCGTGGAGGGATTTGACTGGATCATGAGGTGACCGCCTGGTTCTCTAGAGACGCCTCACGTCGACGCGTCGCTCGTTATTCAACTCATGCAGTTTACAAGACGGACAGGCGTAGAGCTGCAGCCATGTTGGATTGGACATGGACCTGTTACACCTACTGGTGTATGAAGCCACACCATCTATCGTGCTCACATGCACGGAGGGATGGGGAGTGTTTCCAACTCCCCCTCTTCACGACGGATTCTCCACTGTTCTCTGGGTTCTGGTTCTCTGGGTTAACTTGGGTTCTCCTCCCTCCAGGAACGAGATGGAGCGCGAGTTCCTGGAACTGCTCCAGTTCAACATCAACGTTCCGGCCAGCGTCTACGCCAAGTATTACTTTGACCTGCGGCAGCTGGCCGACGACAACAACCTCAACTTCCCACTGGAGCCGCTCAACAACCAGCGCGCCCAGAAACTCGAGGTGAGGCTGCTCAGAACATCTAAACATCTGTATTGACTGCACGGGTGTCGTGTGACTCTGACTCGAAAGCGTTTGTGTTTTCAGGCCATCTCCAGACTGTGCGAGGACAAATACAAAGACCTGAGTCGAGCGGCCATGAGACGATCCCTCAGCGCGGACAACCTGATCGGCGTACGACATTCGAACGCCGTGCTCTCATAGGGTCACCTCTGACCTTTGACCTCTGACGCTGGGCTCCAAACAGACTGGTCTCAGGCGCCGAACCACAGAACGGCGTGCTCACACTGGGAAGCTGCAGGAGAAACTGATTTTATGAGTTTTTTATTTATTTCTTACTTGACCTGTATTTCCAAAAGAAAAGTTTGTTTTTTAGCACTCTGAACTGTTAAAACTGTTTAAACAGGTCGTTTCTGACTTGACACGATGAGGCGGCGTTCTAGTCCCTGGACAACATTAAAAAATTAAATTCAGACGAACATCAGTGAAAGCTTTTTAAATCAGGAACTACGTCTGTTTACGGTTACTTTATACAGAAACATGAACCAGTCGAGAGCGTTTAGCAATGTTGGTCTGCTCGGGGCACATCAGGGATCGGTGCTTGGGTTCCATTTATTTTCCCAGGGTTTTAGAAGAGCGAAAACTTTGACAAGTTTTTACCATAAATTAGGTTTGACGGCAGAAACCTGATCTAATTGTGTGACTCGCGTACAGCACGCCTCATCTAAGACGGTGTTTAGTGTTTAATACTCGACAGGAAACAGTTGCAGTGAACTTCCTGTCAGCGGTTTGTTGTGGGGGGGGGTGTTTAAATGGGACGTTTACACTGATCACGGGTCAGCACAGCTGCTGTGGGGGAGTCAGGTGGACGTGATGGGAGTGGGTCCACACTGACCTCCCCCTCAGAGCCTGGAAGTGAAACTGGTTCCCAACCGTGGTACTTGAGGAACACCATCCTGCATGTTTTAGTTGGTTCCTGCTCCTGGTTCAGTGATTGAATTCATCAAGTTCTGCAGAAGCCCGTTAATCACCCATTCATTCAAATCAGGCGTGTGAAAGCTGGAAAACAACTAAAACATGCAGGATGGTGTTCCTCAAGGACCATGGTTGGGAACCACTGCAAAGACCCAACACCCCCCGCTCCTTTTTGCTTACTGTGTAGGCTACTAGCTGTGAAACGGTTCTTTTTAATGAAAGAAATGATTTGCAAATGAAGTATTTTAAATAAACACTAATCATGGATCAAACGTTTGTTGGACGTTTTCCTGTCGGCCGAATCGACGGGCGTTACGGTATCTTCAGTTTTAGGTTTCAGGTGTTTCACGCTTTTAACTTTTGTCTTTTCAGCTCTGCTTTTCTGGTAGATCTCCTGGAATTCCACGATTTACTCAAGGAAAAAATCAGGGAAAACTGAATTAACAACGTAAAAGGTTAACTCGTGTCATCTGGACCAGTTTCTTTAAGTGAAAAATGTTTCGTCCCCATCCAGAGGACTTCGTCAGTCTACGGCCCGCCGACCAGATCACTGCTGTTTCAAACCAACCTCCTGTTGGAATCTCAGAAGTAGACGTAACACGTGCAAACAGAGCACCCATCCAAAACAATCGTAAAGCAAATGTTTAGGACAGATGCCAACTGGCTACTCACAAACAGCCTGGGACAGATCTGGTTGGCAGGCCGCAGACTGAGGAAGTCCTCTGGATGGGGATGAAACATTTCTCACTTAATTGGTCCAGATGACACGAGTTAACCTTTTTGGTTGTTATCTACCTGGATGATTGAGACTGCAAACCTTTCTTGGGTAATGTAGTTTTGGTTAAACTCGGACTGAAGGTTAAAGACGGTTTGATGCTCATTTGAAACAGTTTACCGTGTTGTCAAATTGAAGAGTCGTCTCCATCTTCTACGTCTTATCTGTAGCTGGGTCAGAGGCAGCAGGTCCAGGAGAGAATCCCGAGAACATTTTCCAGTTCCTCCTGGGAGGGGGGGGGACCCCCGAGGCACTTCCAGACCAGAAAGGATCCCTTCAGTGAGTTCTGGGTCTGCCTCGGGGACTCTTCCCAGCGAGTCGTGTCGGGAAAACCTGATGATGCAAAGAAGCAGCTCCACTGAGGCCGAGCCTGGCCAAGATCTGGTTCTTTCAGTCCTGATCCGAACCTCGTGAGCACAGGTGAGGGTTGGACCGCAGACTGACCAGTGAATCCAGAGCTTTCTCTTTAGGTTCAACTATTCTTCACCACAAGCGACCGAAGCAACGCCCTCATTACTGAGGATCCATCGCTCAGTAACAGATGCAGGGACCTGAACTTATAGGAACATTGGAGAAACCTTGGTGGGGCCTAGATGGTCTCAGTCCAATGAAAACACGAGACGTGGACGAAATGTTCGACTTCCCTTCTGTCGTCTTGCACGGTTTGTAGCTCCAACATGTTCAAATGAAGCGTTTAAACTTCTTATCTGCACGTTTTGTTCCACCGCGTTCAGAAGAATTATTTTTATTTCAGTTTGAAAATGTTGAGATATAAAGTCATATCATCGTGAAAGCAGAAATAAACGTCGGCTTTTGTTTTCACATTTTTACTGTTTCATGTCGTTTATTTTCAAACGTCCAAACTAATAAAATGTTTTTTAAGTTTAACTGAAGCTCGTTGGTGAAACGTTCCGCCTCGTCCCATTTTTTAAATCAAGTTAGTTTCTCCTTAAATTTAACTTTACGCCAACAGATGCAAACATCATCTTAAGATCAAAATCGATGAAAATATTAAGTTACTACCAAACTGTAAATGATGGAGACATAAAAAAAATCAGATTTAAATTTTCTGTTTGAATCTAAGAATTACAAAACGTTGAATAAAAGTGTCCAACGCTAAAATGTTACGTCCTCGTTGAGCTTTGATTTTTAATTTAAAACAGTTTCAGTCACTTATTGTATTAACCTCCTGCTGTTCTTTTATAATTTAGACATTTTGACGAGGTTATGACCAGTTAATATCTTACCTGCTGTAGATGGCTCTTTGAGCGACCTCAGTTTGGAGTTCAGACCAGATCGATGAGCTAATGGCTTGTCGGAGCAGATCAACGTGGAACGCTGAAAAACGTTGTGTACTTTATTTTACGACCATTAATTTGACATTTCAGGCGTTCCTGCAGGAAGTGAACTACGCTGCGCTGACCGTGCTAAAGCTAGCTGCTGCTGCGTCACAAATATAAAACTAACCGTGTACGGTGAAACTGATGGCGATGTAAAGGTTAAGAACCCTGCTCTGACCAGCCATTAGCTCGTCAATCCTTCAGAAAATGATTCTCCTTCAGAGAGCCGTCTGCAGCAGGTAAGATAGTACTTGTTTAGAACCTTTCCACAGAACCACACTGGGAAAAAATACATATTTAGTTTTTCTTTTAAAAATAGAACTCGTGTGTTGAACTAGTATCTGGTGTCCGGTTCTCACTGGGAGGTCGGGGGATCTTTGGAGCGTTCTCGGTGGTCCTGAACCAGAACCAGCAGGGGGTAAAGACCACCTTCGTCCCTGGTGCTCTGTCGACCCGAAACAAACAGGAGGAGCTCTCTTTTTCACAAAGACGCTTTAATGACTTGACAGAACCAAGAGGTCCTCCAGGAACCACGGTCCAACAGAACCAAGA